AATTTGTTGGTGAAGTTAAATAAATATGGTAGTCTGATGCTCATGAGTAAGCTATATTTGAAACATATATTTTAGAGATGAGTGGCATACTATTTCGAGCACGGCTCGTCTTCAGATACAAAAGCTTTCTCATGAGCTTACTTGTTTACTCAAGCTTACTCATGAGCAACAGACAACCATATTTGTTTAACTTCACCATAATCTTAATCGTGCTCAGTTACAGCATTCAGTTCCTTTTAAGTTCATTTGTTCTGCATCATGTCGTATCGCGCCTATGAAAGCGAACTTCACTTAGATTTCTAAAGATTTCGCGCATTGCGGTTAAGAAGAAGGGATACTCTTCTTTACAAAACCTTCTGGTGGTATATTTTCTCAAGAAACGTATCACAGGTAACACCCCAAAACCCCTTCCGCATTATTACACTTTCCAGAAAACGCCTGTTGCACTAAATCACTTTGTTCTTACAGCTCCTTACGCAGAGATCAAGATACGTGAAAAACAAGCCACTGTTGCGATCAAAGCACTGTTCAGAACCTCGATCTCTTACGCATGGCAGGCAGTTCATTTGTGAAGCAGCTCACTCAGCTGCACCCCGAGTTTTTCCACTATGGCCTTCTCGAGCGCCTGCTTCGCCTCTCGTTCCGCTTTGGGGCGCCATTCGCGCTTCCAGTAGTGTTCGGCGACAGCCGTGGCGATCTTGCTGACCGGATCGCCAATCAGCTGGTTTACGACACCTCCTGCGCCCTTTAAATCCACATCCACGTCGATGTCACCCAGCGTGACCGAGACGGCGGTGTTGAGCGGCCGCGCCGCGATGGTGCCGTTGGGATGCACGTCGATCTCGAGGGCCACGTCCAGGCTGCCCACCGGACGATCGACGCGAACCTCCAAGTCGGCAGACACGGAGGCGCGCAGCTTCTTGCGGAAGATACGTCTCTCGGCCTTGGCGTTCGCGTGCCCGTTTCCACGAAGGCGCGGCCAGCTGGTGGTGGCCTGCACGTTGAGCCTGGTGCCGCCCTCCGGGAACTCCACGTTCAGGTGGTCGATGTTGTAGGCCGACAGGCCGTGGATGAGGATGTCGGAGACGGTGGTGGTCACCCTGCCGTCCTGTTTGGTGGAGCCCGGCAGCCGGAGCGGGTCCGAGCTCTGGTGGACGTCGTTCCGGAGACCCTCGAGGAGCTGTTTGACGCAGTCGCTGAGCGCCTCCGGCTGGCCGATGTCGCAGTTGGGGCTCTGAGCGGCGGTGAGGGCCATCAGTAGCAGCACTGGTCCGGCCGACCGCAGCATGTCTGGTGCTCTCCGGGCGTCTGTGGCGTCTCTCGACTCGTCTTCCGGCGGACTGGTGCCGGCGACTGATATGTGCTGCAGCGTGCTGTCCGGTTTTGTGCCGGACAATCACGCGACCCGCCGTCTGGAGCGCCGTCCGCGCCGCGGGATTTCCGAACTCTCGTGTAGCGTAGTTAGTCACCCGTATCAGGCGCGGATCCAGGGGACCTCTGGGGGCGAAGCCCCTAGCCTATCGAAGAAATACCGCCCTCCTCCGCCTTCGGCGGCGGAGAGCAGCATTTTTCGATAGGCGGTGGAGTGTATTTTACAGAAATGAGCATTTCTTTTCAGTTCATTTCATAGTTATATCTGGAAGTAACTCTCTGACTTTATATTTAACCCTCAGACTATGTAGCTTCTCTCCCTGAAGTCAGAGTGCCGCTCCCTCAAGTCGAAATGCCGCCCCCGTAGTGAAGTGAATGCCGCCCCCGTAGGCGGAAAATGTGCTGCCCCTGTGCTGACTGCCCCCACCTATGGCAATCCTGGATCCGCTCCTGACCCGTATGGGCTGTATGACGTCATTCCTTTACCGGTAGGAGTCGGATAGGCATCTGATAGTCTGACGGCTCTTGACGTATGTACTATGTACCTACTATCCGGGGCTTGCGTCAGAATTCAGCTAACCGTAAAATTGTGCTTGCTACAATGCTGCATGAGCTTCGCTCTTGACAGTTGCACCAATACCTAAGTCTTTGAACTGCTCTTATCGGATCAGACAGGTAAGAGCAGCAGAACATTAAGCAGAGGCTGTTCTACTGAATACGTTCAATACCTACACTCAGTAGCGGCGGAACACCTTCAATTAAGGGTGGGGGGACTGCCGACTTTTGGTCCCATTCTTTCCATGCAACGCCCATAGAGCTAATGTCGAAATGCCACATTCAAAGGTGCCCCGGTGCCCTCCCCGTTCCGCCGCCTATGAATACGCCAACAAACAACAACAGTTTTCGTTTCACTGTGCTGGCGTCGGACGCATTTTCGAGGCGTGCTGTAGCGGGCTATACAATATACATAGTCCAAAATTCAGGTGTGCCGTGTCCGTATACCACTATCAAGTGTCAGTGCATTGTGAATTCAGTTCGTACCTCAAGGTACTACTCACAATAATTAGATTGTTCTGTTCATCTACTTTACATAAGTATCAATCAATTCAAACAGCACCTATCTACCTACCTGCATTTAAATATTTAACAACGGAAAGAAAGGCACGGACAACGTAATGCTATTAAAATTTTCCCATTCGTAGGTAGGTAGGTATACAACTAAACGCTCAATCGGCACTGGTGGATCCAGGGGTGAGTGAGTCGGGGCAAAAGCCCCCCCCCCCCCCGCCCCCACAGTGCTCGAAATCGATGAAAATTTGAAGAATTTCCGCGACGCCCATTGTCATTTGTCGACCGTCACAAAACACAAAAGCCCTGGCCTCAGGGCCTGTGTCCGTGAGTCGTGAGAGTTCAATTATCATGTCGCAGCAAACCACGATGGTCGCAGAATCCTGAAATCACACGTTTTGGTCTTGGATTCCAGGCTCAGATTGGGGCTGGACTGAGTACACCATAACCATGCAGATGCCGGAGCCGGCATCGACAGCTAAGACGTCACAAGAGGGGGGGGTGCCGACAGGCGACAGCCGAACTCCATCACCGCCCGAGTACCTATCACGAGCGTCGAGCCTAGACCGGAAGGACATCCGTCACTCCCTTCCAAGACTCCCAAGACCTCTCAATTAATCCGCGCCCCACTGGGGTCTGCGTATAACACGCCCTACGGGGGGGGGGCTCTTCATAGCCCCCCCCCCCCTCCTAACTCCGAAACTACTGGGCCGATTGTCAAAATTCAAACGGGGTCTGATAGCCACGGAACAACTGTCCAGCGAAACCTAATTTCATTGAACTCGAGGTCACCGATGACGTCACAGGTCAGGTCAAAGTAAAAATTATTAGAATTTTGGCTTGTTCACATTTTGGGCTCTGGGCTGGCCGCCGTCTTACAAGTCAGATCAGGCTTATTTTTGGTTTACACACTCGTGAACAGATGCTCTAGATACCCTGAGGGTACCAAACTTGTACTCTGCTGAAATTTTCAGGTCAGGGTCAGGTCATCACAGGTCACGGAAATATTATATCATGTGTCGGTCACGTGACACATGTTTAATGGTCCATTTAGGCCATATATTTCGAATTTGATGTCGTCTGTGTCATTCGAAGTCATTTTGAGTCGAATTTAGCTTAAGTCAGGTCATTTTCAGGTCAAAAAAGGTCAAATTTTGAAGTTAAAATTTTTCAACAAAAAGGTGTCTGTTGGATGCAGTTTGAGCTCAGTGACACGATGGTGCCATTTATATTGGTGTACGATGTCAAATACGTACTGAAAAATTGCTTTGAAAAATCAATAATTTGTGAATTTTTTGCAACAATGCGTATAACTTGGCCATTTTTGAAGATCTTTAGCTAAAACTTGCTAGAGTTTGTCATAAGCATGCGTTCTATCACATACCTTTATTCCGTTTTTTTTCGAAAAGTCAAAAAATATAATAAACTTTTTGAAAAAAAATATAATTAAGTAAAAATTTCCGAAATTTTGAAAATCCGAGATAGCAGTTTGATAGCGCAGTCTATTCTGAGTCTTTTCATGCAAAGGAATTGGATCTAGCTCAAAACCTGAGCTCTTGAGAGCGATTGCCGTGGTTCAATGTTTTGCGTCGAAATCGGCCGAAAATGACGTCACTCTGACGTCATTTCCGGCCGACCTATGGTAGCTACGAAGTTCATATTTTGACACAAGGTGTCAAATTGATGCAGCCGAAGGTACTGAAATTTTGGCGTCGATACGTCAAGCGGTTTGGAAGTTATTGCAGAAAAACGGGAGGGGGCTATGAATAGCCCTCCCCCCCCCCCCCCCCCCAGTGGGCCGCGGGATAAAAAATTACGAGTGAACGCCTCCCTGTCGGAGGACGGAGGCAAGGCTGTATAAGAGGACGGAGGAAGTGATCGACGACTCGACGCTGAAGCACCCTTTATGTCCAAACTCACCTTTTACGTTATCCCGAACCGCGGGGCCTGGAAGGTCGCAGGCCGCAGGTCGCCAGAGTCCAGAGAGAGCAGGAGCCGACCGAGCGCCAATAAGACCACTGCACCGATGCTGACGGTTTTCACGAACAAGTTTCTTGCTACGAGGCGGGGTGTCACTCGGACTCAATGTATACTTTTACCAAAACAACTGCTACGAAGTAAGAAGCAAATCTAAATGATTGTCTTACCTAAGAATCGAACCCGCGTCGCTGGCCGCGTGACCGTAACAAGCGCCAAGACGAGCTTGCTTTTGAATCAGTTGCGCCACATTCACCACCAGTCAAGCTGGTGATGTGTACAATAGAGCTTTGACACATTACTTCTTTTGATGATGTCATAGATTTTGCCAAATAAAACGATTTGTCGGTTTCAGTTGGTGTCAAGCAGTTAGAAAACAGTAATGATTCCAAATTGATGATACACGGTGCTAGAAGTTCATCAAATTCAGCGTAGCATATTGTGTTTGGAAAATTTTGGGAACTGCATAAATTGTCTACTGCTCCTTTCTCTTCTTAATTTCGTGACGTCATAGACATCCTCTTACTTTTTTAATGGCAATCCATTACTGCATCGTGGGCACAGCTCCATGCATATGTTGTTCTCTGACACCTTTCTGAGTTTCGTTCCACACAACAGAGAGGCCCTTCACGGTAGTAATATAGCATATTTTACTGATATATTAGCTTCCAATGTGCCCATCACCCATGAGTGATTACATTAGATTTCAAATTAGACAGATATCTCCAGTTATTTGAACATACATGATACAATAGAGTTCAGTTTGAGTTGGAATTTGGAACTTCTTTAAAGTTAATCTTATTCTTGTGTTAGGTAAGATAATTGTTTGTTTTTGGATGGATGTTGCTGGGTAAGAAAATGGTGCAGAGGCCAGTTTTACCAACCAAAATAGCCGTCGGCAGGAATTGTTTGCTTAAAGACCGCTTCACATTTGTGGCGTATATTCGATGGGCATGTAAGTGGATAGGGCTTTACATTTACTGTTTACGCTTCTTATGTGAAGTGGTTTTTAGGCAAAAAATTCTGGCAGTCACCTATTTTCTGTTGGTAAAACTGCCCTCAGTTAGCGATTCACCCTGCGTTGCTGCGAATAACTTTTATTAAAACTTGAGAAAGGCTTTTGCCTGTGTGCTGTTGTCAGCACGGTCTGTTTTTAGTTTCAGTTTGGTGATGTGGCTATTCATTTGTATTGGCTTGTATTTCAATTTATTTGTATTGGTATTCAATACCCAAGGTAATTTATATTGATTTGGAAGGTACCCTACCTAGTACCTACCTAATCCCCTTCAGCACCCTGTTTTCACCATTTACCCTGGATTTATCTAGTATAGCAGAGTGAACTTTGTGATTAGTATGTATAAGGGCTTGGTCCTCTTTTGCCATGTTATCAGACAAGCCTCCAATGCCATGTTATCAGACAAGTCAGACACTATAATTTGACATGAGTTACCTAAGTTCAGCTTTCAACACTCTGTCTTCTTGTGACGTTTTGAGATTTTTGCTCTTTTAGGCATTCTTATGTTATTTTGGCAATGATGGCCTTGGAATAAATTAACCCAGTCTATTGAATTCAAGATAATGATGTGTTTATTGCAACTTGCATGCTAGCTTGTCTCTTCTTTTCGTTCTATTGTATAAAATGATATGGCTTGGCTCCTTTCTAAAAGCCTGTCAGATAAATAAAGGTGTAGTCAAAGAGCTCAGGAAAGCATCTGCTTGTTTTGGTGTACAGCTATTTTTACAGAAACAATTGTCCTTTTTTGCATGCTAAGCTAAATAAGAATATAGTGATCTGGTATATGTATGGTTGGGATGGGTTTTGGTTGTGATTGTAATGCTGATTTTGTTGAGCTGTTGTGTTCAGAACTCACAAGTGCTTATGAACCAGAAGCAAAAAAAAAATGATTGCACTCAATTGCACTCACAATTTGCCATCTTACAAACGTACCATATTATGTTTTGCTGCTCTTTCTAAACTCAATTATAAAGCATACACGATGGATAGGTACTGGTTTTCCTGTAGATGTAATGTAAAAGCATCTTGCAATCATTTCAGGCAAATGAATTACAAACAGTCATATGAATGAGTGTATTCTCAAGAAGTAGCAAAGTAGTTAGTGTGCATTGCTGGGTCGCTTTGACTCAACAGCAATATCCATTCTTCAAGCAAGTCAGATTTATATCCAGAGCAAGGAAGAAAAGAAAAGGATTTTTGGCAAATGTGAGTTTTCTTAATCAGGGAACTATCAAAACTATAGAGCATGAGTGCTTGCTTGAATTCATGCATTTGGGTATCCCTAGTTTATTGTTCCTTTCTGTCTGTTACAGTGTAACATGTCCTGTCATTCAAAGTCTCCTCACTAATCGCATTGTGTATGACTTAATGCTTTTGCTTTCTTGTATTTTGGACTGAATGTATGCGAAAGTTTCTGCAATAAATTGTGCCCTAACCTTTGCCTCATTTTGATATTCAGTATTCAGCTACCATCCTTTCTCTTCTCCAAAGGTTCACTAACATTTGAATTAATTCAGCTCATTGAAAGGTTTGTTTTCAGAGAACTCTTGTGTGATTTTCAGTTTGCATTTCAAAATATCGTACCTGATTGATACTAAACTCATCTTATCCACATTTTATATGTACCTTATACACTTAGTTTTCAATCAGAACTTTGTCTAAAGCATCCAGATATTTATAAATAGCATACACAAAAATTGATGCATTTTTAGTCAATGTGAAGTCAATGTGATGAATGACTTCTTCATAAGAAAAAAAATGATCTAATTGTTTGAAAACTTCTTAGGACATCAGTACCTCATGATGTCCTGATCCTTTTTGCAGAATAGAAATAGAAATGAATGAGAGAGTTGGTGTGTGCCTGACAGACATGGGGCCTAATGGCTATTTGATTACTGTGGTTGTACATTCATGCATGACAGCATAGCATAGCTCAAGATGTGGGGAATGGCCGGTCTATGTATTTTTATGTTTTGTCCCAACTGTGTCCTGTAACTTCCTCTACTACAGTCTTGCAGTGTGGTGTTGTAGGTACTGTTTCAGCTGTAGACTTACAGTTTGCACTGCAATAACTCAGTTTCATTTTTCATAAGTTTGACTAGGAAGTTTCACTTCAGGTCAAAGTTAGCTTTTTAGTGGCATCCTTTGAGGCTTTATAAGATGTAAAATTGTAAAGTGTATTTTAGGTGTGTTGTAAAAATTGTTGTGTATTCACAGATACACGGTCTATACCCTGTGAATTTGAAATGACTGATTTTCTGAGAATCCTGTGATACCACAGGATTTACTGGTGCCTTGGTGTGATTGACAACTTTATGAGTTGCCCACTATGCATCCATAAAAGCTGTTGCTTATCACGTCTAAGATTGTCGCTGATACCATTGCCTCAAGAATCTGGCATTTGTTTTCCGTTTTGACTGGCGTCTGACTGAGCAACTGAAAGTGCCGTGTGTCTCGGACAGATGGCGCGCCGAGAGCAGCCGCAGTGGGCGCCGCCAGAGGGCACTGCCACCCCTCAGCTGCACCTGTTCAACAGTCTGAGCCGGCGCAAGGAGCTGTTTGTGCCGCAGGCTGGCCGCCGGGTACTCTGGTACAGCTGCGGGCCCACCGTCTACGACGCCTCGCACATGGGACACGCCAGGTCAGTACAGGCGCGGGGCGCGCCAGGTCAGTCCGCCAGATGAAGAGGGCATGACAGGTCAGTCTTCTAAATAAAGAGGGCACGCCAAGTCAGTCCAGGGCGCGCCAGGTCAGCTCACTGGACTGGGACGTAAGATCGGCTCACCGGTTAGCGGTTACTCGAGCCGTGAGGTCGGTCCACTGGACACTGACCATGGTAAACATGTCTTAGGACATGGGCCACGTCAAGTCAGCTCACTGGAGTGCACGGTACATGGACAGGCCAGTTGACTACGCAGAAGGACACGAGCCTAGCTAAATAGTCGTTACACAATGTAGAATTGACACATATCAGTATACGATTCAAGATATGCGGGGATTGCAGCAAAAATATTGGTTATTTATGTCCGAATATGATAACCCCAGGATGTTTATACTGCCTGACTCTTTATTTATAAATTAAAGTCTTGGCAGCCAAGGTATAACATTTTGACACATCACATGCAACAGTGACCAAAGGGTCAGACATTACTTACACGCCATATCTATTCGCGTGTTGCATCATTGAACTTGTGTATATCCCTCCACGCTAGGTCGTACATCTCGTTCGATATCCTGCGTCGCGTCATGACCGACTACTTCGGCTACGACGTCACCTACGTGATGAACGTGACGGATGTGGACGACAAGATAATCCGGCGCGCGCGCCACCAGCACCTGCTGGCCCAGTACGCCGAGCGCACCGGCGACCTCAAACAGATGGTGGACGACTGCTCCGAGGCGCTCAAGGTGGGGAGTGTTGGGGGAGGAAGGGAGGCTCAATGCTTGGTCACTAGCTACTATCCAGTGGACATAATTGATAATCATCTGTGTGGCAGTTGAAGGGTAAAGAAGGTAATTTGGGCGAGGGGTAGTCAAGAATTGGAGTGGGAATGGCGAGAGCTAGGCTAGTTGATGTGTGGTGTTGAATGGGCGGGGATCTTAGTGCTGCATAAAATGCTTAATTGTCCATTGTGATTATCTGTGGCTCGATTGCTCTGTCTAAGTGCAGCCCTATGTTTGTTACGGTGGTGCATATATTTTCTTCGTCTTTCATCAGCTGTGCTCTAGACGAGCAGCCTTATTCGCCTTTCGTCAGTTCGTCTGCATGCGACAAATCAAGTCCCCCCCCCCCCATTCCATTCTGTACGGTGATATCTTGCCGTTGAAGGTTCTAACTAAGTTTCACACCACCCTTTCTCCCACGCTCAGATATACGCCGAGAAGGCTGCCGCTGAGCGAGACACCGACAAGCGAGGCATGCAGCGCCGCCTGGTGGACAGACTCACAGCGGCCATCGACAAGGTGGAGGCCGCTGTCAAACAGGGCGGGGACCTGGCTGAGGCGAGACAGGTGAGACGGGGCCGGGGGTCAGTTGGTAGGTTCTGCGGGGAAGGCTGAGTCTGGGTGGGCTGTCCCGGAGCAGGGCGGTTACATGACCCGCGCCCGGCAGGATATTTTGGCTGTCAAGTGAATGATGAAAGGTGAAATGAAATGATTCGTTGAGTTTGACAGATTGGCACACGTCCGTGACAGTGAATGGTTGGATGACATTTGTGTGGAGGTTATAATTGGTAGTTCAGTAGGTCAGTCATTGATAAAGCATGGCACGGGAGCAGGCCGGCAGTGGGTAGGGTACAATCAATAACTTACAAATCATTTTATCATGTCATATCAAGTAGCTTGTAAGTCCTTGGTATATGCTTTTAAGGTAAACGCTGCCCCGGTTCCCCGCTGCTCTCTGAGGCCAGTGACTCGCTGTTCCTATGGTAACGGTTGCCCCCGTTTTCCCAGCTGCTGCTCTCTGAGGCCAGTGACCCGCTGTTCCTATAGTAACCGCTGCCCCCGTTCCTTCCTGTGGTAAACGTTACTCCCTGTTCTCCCCCAGCTGCTGCTCTCTAAGGCCAGTGACTCGCTGTTCCTATGGTAACGGTTGCCCCCGTTTTCCCAGCTGTTGCTCTCGGAGGCCAGTGACCCTCTGGCCGAGTGGCTGGACCGCCGGCTCGGTCACACCGTCACCGATAACTCCATCTTCGCCGATCTGCCGCGCCACTGGGAGGGAGAGTTCCACGCTGACATGGAGGCCCTCAACGTAAGACCGGCAGTTAGTGTAACAACCGTGAATGTGGTAAAGGGGTTTCGCTGTTCTGCCTATCCTCTGTGTTAGAAGATGTGAACGTTTTTGCTACTCTAACACAAAGTCGGTTATACGAGGCTCAGATGACTACAGTGTCGAATGACGCCTTAAACGTAAAGTTGTCAGCGTAAAATATTATTTATGACTGTTGTACGATAACTGTGTGCGCTAAATCATGACACCTACAAGTATTCATCTCAAGTTTAAATCCTGCGTCCTCCTCTAACTACATTTCTCGTCGCCCCTCTTCTCGTCAGGTGCTGCCGGCCAACGTGGTCACCCGTGTCAGCGAGTACGTTCCCGAAATCGTCGACTACATCCAGAAAATCATCGACAACGGCATGGCGTACGAGTCGCAAGGCTCGGTGTACTTTGACGTGGGCAAGTTTGACGCGGCCGAGAACCACCACTACGCCAAACTGGTGCCCGAGGCGTACGGAGACAGTGCTGCGCTCCAGGAGGGCGAGGGTACGTACTGGAGGGGCGTACTAGAGGGCAGGTGACCTGAGCTGACCTCTGATCTCATTTGTGACCCGCAAGCCTGTACTAACTGCTAACAGGCGACTTGAGCGTCTGACATCTGACCTCACATGCGACCTGACGTCTGACCCCTGACCCCGCAGGTGACCTGAGTTTATCCCTGACCTCCCCTCTCCCTCCCCAGGTGACCTGAGCGTCTCGGAGGACCGTCTGAAGGAGAAACGCTCGCCGAACGACTTTGCGCTGTGGAAGGCGTCCAAGGCGGGTGAGCCGAGCTGGCCGTCGCCATGGGGCGCCGGCCGGCCCGGCTGGCACATCGAGTGCTCCGTCATGGCGTCGGCTATAGTGGGCGCCAGCATGGATATCCACACGGGCGGATACGACCTCAAGTTCCCGCACCACGACAACGAGCTGGCGCAGGCTGAGGTACGGCGTGGGACCGAGAGGAATATAGTGTAGAGAGGGGTAGTGGTCAGGGTCTGGCTGGATGGACAGGAGACTTCGGTAAGGGAAGAGAATGCGATGCAGTTGGTGCGATCGAGTTGTAACTTGTAACCAGTCTTGCTAGGCGTCTAACAGCAATTCATCATGGCCTCAGCCTATCCCAGGACAGATTGCCGACCATTCCATCATTATGCGATTGCCCGGTAATTATCATTTTCACACGAGGGTACAAGTTCATGATACTGACCTTTCGCAGGCGTACTTCAACAACGACAACTGGGTACGCTACTTCCTGCACTCTGGTCACCTCACCATCGCTGGCTGCAAGATGTCCAAGTCGCTGAAGAATTTTGTCACCATCAAGGAGGCGCTGAAGCGACACTCGGCGCGCCAGCTGCGGCTCGTTTTTCTCATGCACGCCTGGAAGGACACGCTCGACTACAGCGAACAGACCATGGACGTCGCCAAAAACTTCGAGAAGGCCGTCAATGTGAGTTTGTGGTAAAATATAGGGGAGGGCTGAGAAGTTGAATGTGACGGAGATCAGGCGAAGTAAGTCAGGGGTGTCCTAAATGAAGATTTAACCTCGTGTTAAACGTTCTTGTTTGACGCATTTGCTTATTTCTACGGTCTTTTTCGCATATTTTGTTGGTTTTTACCACATCATTTGTTTACATGGCAATTGAATGCTGGGTTTTCTTATCATTTGTGTGTTCTCTATCTTCACAGGAGTTTTTCCTGTACGTGAAGTCGGTGCTGCGTACTGCGCCAACCGGGGTGGACTTCTTCCAGAAGTGGGGTGATCGGGAGTTGGCTCTGAACGCTACACTCAGCCAGATCCGCACCGACGTCCACGAGGCGCTGTGCGGTAGGTGGCGCTCGAGAAGCGGCCGGGACTGGGCTGGGGATATCAGGGAAATGACTGGGAGGTGAGGTGAGGGAAAGTAAATACCGTTTGGCGTGTTGCTGAGCTGGATGTAATTGTTAATGAGTTGTATGTTTCAAGCAGCCGATATATCCTAGTGTCGTACATATGTGTCTAAGTAGACATATCTAAGCGTCGATGTGTCTTGTTTTGTTCCCAGTTCCTCCTCGTCACTCCATTCTCGCTCCGCTGTCTTCTTACACCCACCTTGACTCTTCCTACGACCTCCAACAGACAACATCGACACACGTTCCTGCCTGGAGGCCCTGCGTGACCTGGTCTCCGCCTGCAACACGTATGTGGACGAGTCGCGAACGGCCGGCGGCGTGGCCAACCGACAACTGCTCGCCGACGCCGCCCAGTACGTCACGCGCATGCTGAAGGTGTTCGGTGCCATCCCGGCCGGCGGGCCGGCCATCGGATTCCCGCTGGAGGGCGACACCACCACTGACGTGAGTTAGGGAGGAAGAACAGGGACTGGCAGGAGGTCGATGTTTTGTTTCGTTGATTTTTCGTAAGGTTGTTTGTTTTTTATCATAACAACGCCGTTTTTATAATTGTAATATGATATGCCGTTAGTGCGATGAAACGGGTACAAACACATTCCGTACCACAGACCTCACACCCGACTTCTCCGGCCCACTAGCCAGTGAAATTCCTGGTAATATCGTATCTGACTGTTTCACGTTGGTGATTGCTGGTAACGGAGCGTAGTGTAGTTGGTAGCTGAAGTAACCCATACCCGACCGCACCCCATTGAACTGGACGTGGAATCGCTGACCGTACCCCATTGCACCCACCTTCCGCATGGACCATACCCCGGCCCATACTGACCCGAACATGCTCCCTCGCCCAGGTGGAGTCGCTGGTGATGCCCTACCTCACCGTGCTGGGCAAGTTCCGCGAGCGGGTGCGTCAGACTGCCCGCGAGCACCAGGTGCCCGCTGTGCTGCAGGAGTGTGACCGGGTGCGGGACGAGGACCTCACAGAGCTTGGCGTCAGACTGGAGGACAGAGATGGTGAGAAAGGGAGAGGGAGGGAGAACTTACCGAGCTGGGCGTCAGGCTGGAGGATAGAGTTGGTGAGTGGAGGGAGAGGGGAAACGGGGGAGGGGGATGGGAACTCGACGCGGAGCTCGGGGTCAGGCTGGAGGACAGAGACGGTGAGAGCGGGGAGGGGGAGGAAAACTTACCGTGCTGGGGATCAGGCTGGAGGATAGAGACGGTGAGAAAGGGAGAGGGAAGGAAAGAAGGATGGTGATAGACAGGTGGAAGGAGAATTGTAATGGTAATTGTGGTGGGATTGGTTCATGGTTGAATAACGGTCCACATTAGAAGACGAGTGCTGAAAGTAGAGGATCAAAAGAGCGAGACTGAATTCAGCAAGCTTCTGATTACCACATGTGCCATGTGTCTGTTTAATTACTGTGCTGCAATAATAGCTGGTTTTGAGACGAGACAGGAAGCCTCCAGTTTGCCCGCAGCGACTTGGTAGTTGGTATGTCACTTGCGGTTTTCAAATTCCTGTAGCCTCCGCCACTGACGCCCCCTCCCCCCCCCCCCCCTCTAGGCGAGGTGGTGCTGAAGCTGGTGGGCCGCGAGGCGCTGCTCAAAGAGCGTGAGGAGAAGGCCCGTCAGGAGCAGCTGAAGCGCCTGGAGAAGGAGCGGCGCCGCCTGGAGCAGATGAGGGTCGAGGCCGAGCGGGAGGCGCAGCGGCGAGTGCCGCCGCACCAGATGTTCAGAAATGACACCGACAAGTACTCCCAGTGGGACGACAAGGTGAGAGTTCAAACCAGCGAGCGGCTGAGCGCATGCCGTATTTAACTTTTCATTGTGCGGCTTATCCTCAGGTTTCGATAAATTACTGTGTCGCGTTGTTTTTTATGGAGCCTTATTTGAGCGATTTATTTTCTTCGTTGTGCTTCAGTGTCCTGACAATGCATAAATGTTATGTTTACCAGGCGCAATGCTCAGAACTACGGATATAAACCTCGAAATACCTAAAAATTCCTCAATTTCGTAATAAAAGGGGAAGTGTCCCTTAAATTGGTACTGCAAGTGCGAATATTCAAAAAATGCGCGGTTACTATTGAGCTTTTTATGTGTGGCTTGACCACAATGACCTCGAATGGGTAAAGGTGTCCTTTTCTGTAAGCCTGTCGGTTGTCGGCCATTGAGTCCAGATTGTGTGTTAACCTGGTTATTAGTGGTTAACCTTGGTCTCTCTCCCACAGGGTATGCCGACTCACGACAAGGAGGGAAAGGAAGTCAGCAAAGGTCAGTTGAAGAAGCTCCTGAAGCTCTACCAGGCACAAGAAAAGAAATATAATGAGTTCCTGGCCTCCCAAAACGCAAAAGAGTCGTAACCTATAGCATATGTTGAAGTGTTAGGAAAGTTTGTTTTGGGAACAAAACGTTTTTATGAGGGTGCAGATTTAACTGATCTGAAACTAAAATCTAGGTTGACGATACATTTATTTGGAATTAATTTATAAGCCGTTGCAACGTTTTCCTATTGTGTTGGGTGCTGGTGAAACCCCCACATGTGGGGCCCACGGTTGTGCGCGCTTCGGTCACATCGCTAGTTGTTACTACCGTTTGCTTTAATTTGAGCGTGACCTCAAATGTCGGGCTGAGCTTCCGCGGGGGTGGGTTGGCAGATCGCCTGTCCGTGCCGATTTGTGGCCGTTGTGACCGTGCCTTTTGCATGGTGGAATACACGCCTGCGGAAGTCTACCAAAGAGTTTGGGTAGTGGCGATGAGTAAAGGCAGAGCCAGATATTACATGGGATGGGCCTCAATGCTAGCGCCTGCGCACACAGAACTGGACGCACTCATGAAGTTGGTCTATGCTACATAATTTTCCCACGCAGGTCAGTGTGAAAATATACGTGAACGCTTATTGCATAGTTCAGGCATGGTTCACGTCAGTCACCGATATTCCCTTTGCCAGCGATGCGCTTTGGGATGCTGAAAAAGGTGGTGGCAGAAGATTATTGGAAGTTCGAGCATACGCCACCAGGGGTGGGTTACCGTGTTTTCATGCATTGCCTGTGGAATTGAAGCCGGAGCTGGCGCAAAAGATGCGCATTTTATTGAATGTCTCTGCCGTCGATCGTTATGGTCTCATGTGCAGCCACTTGTGATTTAAGTCTCGGAAACAATTAATTTCGGGAATAATTAATTCCGAAAGTGGTCATTCAACTGAATGATTTCAAGACCTGGAAGCAAACATTCCGTTTGGACAATGTGTTATGTAAGTCATGGACTCCGAAATTGACGTTAAATTTCTTGGAGAGCGTCATGAGACATGAACAGTCTGAATTTATCGCAAAAAATATGACAAAAAATTGCGATATAATTGTTTATCTATTGCAAAGGGATAAAAAACAAAAGCAGAGATGTAGGTATGTTATCCGTGTCGATTGGCGAATGTTTCCGTGGAATGATAATCGCAGCTTGACTGCATGCTTTCCGCACCCGAGTTTTGTGTCGTTGATGCTGGCAGCTTTTGTGTTTACTGCGTAAGAAAATAGTTACAAAGTTGAGTTTCCGAGAGCGGCGCCAGGCTTGATGTCATACCATGGCTGAGTCCCTTTGTGATGGTTCAAAGGGAGATTGGCCCACTCTTACGTTGAGGTCCAACAACTGCTTCGATACACCGCGAATCAGCTAGGTACCTAATTATCCAAACCGTTTCTATGATGCTATGTCATGTATGACATTATTTAACCCTCGCCCGTATTGGTGTTTTTCCAGCCGCGAACGTATAAGGGGGGGGGGGTCCGTTGAACCCCCCCCCCCCTTGCCGTTTCGCCCCTGATGGAGCTAGAGCTTCGCGGAAAAAAACGAGCGTGCTGCCCGTGACGAGAGGAAGCCGATGATACCTAATTTTAAGGTCCTAGGTCATTGGTTGACCTTGCAGGTCAGGTCAATGACCCAAAAGTCGGGAAAATCGGGACCTGTTAGAACGTCGTAAAGTGTGGCTGCTATAGGGTTTTTCGGGGCGCTGATCACGAATATCATGTTAGTTTTGATCACAGATGATGTCTTTATGCATTTAGTCCAGGTCGGGTCAGGTCAGGTCAGGTCAACCAGTAGGGGTCCTGCCGGGTATTCCTAGTAAGACTAAGTGTCAACCGCCTCTGACAGCTTCGTTACATGGTTACGAAGGTACCAAAACTACTTCGTAAACGTTCATATGGTTGCTAAATTCGAATTCAGCTCCAAAAACTGGCCTAGAAACATGTAAAACTCGAAAAAGTGAACCGAGGTCACCAAAGGCTAATGACCTGACCTGACCTTCAGGTGACCTTGACACCCACCCTAATGCATGGGGGCAACGTCATATCACATGTTTGAACGCTTGAAACCACGAAAAGACTGCAAACGCGCGGCTAATGCGAGCCGACATACGCCGAATCGCGATTCCGGCCAAACATGGTCTCGAAAAGTAGGTCACAGGTCAAGGGTCATTGGGGTCAGGGTCATGAAATTTTCAGGGTAGGTGTAAAATTGATTAACGCGAGGGTACTGAAAGTTTCGTCGCGATCGGCCGCTTTTTACGCGAGTTATTCGCGAAAAACCATGGGGGGGTCCGTTCGACTCCCCCCCCCCCTATACGGGCGAGGGTTAAGCGATAGGACGATAGCTATCAAATATTTGTCACCCGGAAGATAGATAGGTACTAGAGATTGCGAGATACCTGAATCGGCCGCAATTCCCGACCCCTCGATGTGCCCTTGGTCAAAAGCTCACGTGACCCGGGTCGGGTCAGACTGGGGTGGGCTGGTTCGGGGTCGTCTGTCAGTCTGAGTGAGGTCAGTGTAAGTCGGCTCGGTGATGTGAAACAAGTGGCCGTCGTGCGGAGGAAGGGAATCGAAATGGTTGTGCGGGACGCAATGTTTCATAAACCCGGGGCTTCTGGTAAGTACCCGTAGTGGTTGGAGGCTGGAGCGTTCGCGGTGATTATGCACATATTACATAATCGAAGACTTCGTTCAGTGGTAGTGCAGTTTTGAAGCAAACTTACGAAAAAGTGGTATGTGCACTGTGCTGTATGCCCTTCCGATGCGTCCTGGACCGAGGAAAGGGCTACTCATTTTCAAAATTGTTCTAAAACGGGTAGCAGGTTTGCTCACCAGATCCCCTGACAAACTGTTTTTGGCCAGTGGCCATGTTTTCGAACGGAAGTTCCTTTTCCTTTTCGTGAGATATGTCGCCTGGCCCTTAGTTGTCGAGTCCTTGAAGGCCTACACTTATGGAATTATGAATGAAAATTATGAATGCTTCGTAGCAGTAATTAAAAAAAACTTGTCATTCGACTAATTTTAATGCCAAAACTATTTGGACAGGTATTCTCTCCACTCGAAACACTCCTTGTTGGATTCGTTGGTTCTCTTTCCTCTCGCTCTTCTGTCGTTCTCCTCCGTTCTCCTTCCATCCGCCCTTCTGTCGTTCTCCCACCAAAACGAGTGTCGTCTTGTCTACAAGTTTATTCACTACTCTCACTACTACACGAAGAACACAATAATATGGCTTACTGGCGACGATGCGGCCCAGGAATGACTCTACAACGGGTACAGGCTCCAGCACTGCGCTCAGTCACCTCGTACATTCTCTGACATGCCTGGCGTGCGGCGCCGGCTCGGCGCGCGCTCCCCTGTGACCCCTGACCGGTCACCGGTCATTGGTGACCGGCGGCGCGGCCGCTACAGGCCGCCGGCTACTTACGATACCTGAGTTTGGTTCATCTGAGGTAGGTGTGTGTATGTATGCGAGGCGTCCCTCGGGTCGGGCCGGCCGGTCCTGACTTGACAATAAATAGGCTACTGCGGCCCGGCCAGGGGACCCGGGTCGACCTGGGCCGGGGCGGGACTGGCGGCGGGCGCCGCCCGTCCGCCCCCGGCCCTGTCCACGGGTCTCACAAATCACGACGGCATGAACCGTGCCCCGATCAGCGTATGTCATCCCATTCTCATCGATTCCAAACGTGGCCGACCCGTGGACAAACAAAAACAAAGCACGCGAGCGAACAAAACTAAATCAAGACAGCGAAATCACTACGGCGCCGACTGCGCCCCGACGCCGCCGTGACGTCACTAGTCCTCAGTGACGTCACCGTGACCCCGGGTCGCGGTCGGCGGCGGACCGGTTACACCCAGTGGCACGGGCGGTCCTCCGTCGGCCCACCTCGTCGGCAAGATCGCACAGAGTCGGCATACGCCGCCGACGGGCAAAACTCAATACCAAACGGCGGAACGCGTGAAACCGCGCCGGCAGATATCACGCACAAGCCCCGTGGCCCCGTCACTGAATGCACCCGTTCTCGCGAGTAGCGGCGGCGGAAACAAAACAATAATACCCCCACTAAGCGAGGAGCTGGTCCGCGGCGGGTCGGCTCGCAGTTCGGTGTCGTCTCTGTCAGCTCGGTCCGGCAGGGACGGCGGCGGAGGTAGCTCAAGGGTGGTGCCGGCGAAAGACGCCGGTGTGGATGGGAGGGGAGGGGAGGAACGAGTCAGTGAGGAACGAGTCAGTGTTGAGTAGATGTCTGGTGAGCCGAGTGTGAACCCCCGTTGACGATCGTTGTTCCCCAATAGCGTCTGCCGCTGCCCGAGTGTCCGCGTGATTAGCTGCGGTGATTACCCCGGGAGCCGAGCGCGGCCGTTGTCATGGCAACGCCCGGCGAATATCGATGAGTGTTCGGCGTGCACTTGCGGTATGGGATGAGTGGGTGCGTCCCCCCCCCGGCCCCCCCCCCCCCCCGCTCCCCTGCCGCTGCGTTTGTGCGCAACGCAGACGCCGAAAAGGTCCCATCGGTAGTTCATGCGGAGACCTCAGTGACTGAATTCACTGTCACTGAGGTCATCGCCCGCGGCCACTTCCCTTTAACTCGGACGGCGCCCTTGAACGGGTTATTGATGGCGCTGAGATGATTGGCCGGATGTCGGGGGAGGGGAGGGGGGGGGGCGTCACGCGCCGAGCTGAGGCCGCCGTGACGTCCGGTGTCACGACATGTGACGGGTATGTGACCGTGGAAACCCCGCCGGCACGGGGCTCCGGCTGAGTAACGTAACGGCGCTGAGGTAGGGCGTTTGTGACACACGGAAAAGCTCGCTGCTTTTGTACTTTTCTCGACATGAATGCACTAACAAATGTGCACAAGACAGGACACGATGCAGTGCTCGACATATTTGCTTGTGTGGTGATCTAAGGTGCAGTGAAACGCTTGAAGTCAGATCAATGAGGTATACCAATGGGCGATTCCTACCCGTTAAAATGCGAGGAATATGAGCAATGACCAGTAAATGTCTTTTATAACCACACGCTTGGCGATATTGACCCAGAACCAAACACGAAAATGTAACCCACACCTTCCCCTCTCATGTTTTGCACTGGAATATCAGCCACGGTCCCACTACCTCGGTTCTGATTCGGTAATCCCGGCTGCGCTCATCCCTCCCAGCGCCCGATATGGACGTCCCCACCCTCCCCGGCGTTAACCCTTTCGCTCTAATTGGTCCCCGTTTCCAGTATGGCGGCGCGGGGCGGAGCCAATCGATGGCGTAGGCAGGGGTGCGCCGGCGCTGCCCGGCACAGTTGCTAATTGATGTGGCTGCTGGCGCATAATGGCCACTAATTATATACCGCTAAATGCAGCGACCGTTCGCCACCTCTGCCGTCCCCCCCCCACCCACACACACATTTCACCCCCTAACGGAAGGAGAGGTGGCGGTTACCGGCCGATTTGCTAAAACAAGAACAGTTTTACACGGGCAACACCCACTTGTGCCCACCGAATCGTGACCGACTAATTTCAACCCCAACCAATTCCAGGCCGATGATGGGAGCCTGATGGAACATTAATTGAACGCAATTATTCACAACGGGTGCTCGGTCCCGGAAGGCTGTCATTTGAAGTGACGGTGACCTATGTCTGCCCCGCTCCCCCCCCCCCCGGCACCTCTGCCGACACCTGCGCTGGCGTGGGTGCCGCACAAAGAGTTTGGGGGGGGCTGCGGCCGGTCGCGGGGGCGGGGCCGGGGGAGGCCGGCCGGCCGATACGGGCCCGGTTGATAAGAGCCGATGGCCTTGGCGAACGGGCTCGGTTGTGGCGATAATTGCGGCTACGCGTTGGACAGAGGCCGGCCGGCCGAGGTACTGACGAGCTTGAGACGCCCGGTGCATTGGAATTATTCAGAAACGGGAGTGGCTTGTGTTGTCAAAGGTAGTGGAATGATTAGAAGGACCCTTTTGCTGTTGAACTTATTTGCAGGATAAATGCTCAATACCTATCAGGAATACCTACCTAAATAGTAAATACCAACCAGTATATGACGCCACTGAACCCAATATTCCCCTAAAAAAGAATATCGTAACTCATAAGTTGGCACCCCTCCCCCCTTTCCACGCCTGCAGCTGGTTTCCCGCCGCCCCACCCACTCCCCTGCCCACCCCTGCCCGGACCCCACCCCAGTGGCCGGGTAATCGGTCCGTTTCTGTCCATGAATGAGTTTAATTGGCGCAGCTTTCATACGGCCCCGCTGGGAGACGGCAGAAAATCGCTCCCTTCCGCAGCGCCCGTTACCGGAAGAGTTCGTAATAACCGCGGCGCGTCGTCAGTTCGGCCCCCAACGGTATCAGGTCGGCCTCCTGCCTGATGTGAAATGAACGCCAAACCCTTCATGGGTCGAAACGATATTTCTTTTGGATACTAAATTTTGTTCAAGTGATTTAATGAACCTCGCCTGCAGTAATACTTTCCGAGAAGATAGGATACCTACACTATCTATTGACTTCCCGACGACTTCGTATTAAATAAGAACGACTTTGCTTCAATCTTGGTCGTGCAGGTTTTCGGCGCGATTTGGCAGCGCTATCATGCAGGTCTTATTGCAGGATTAGGCATGTTTATCTATCATATCATTGTCACCTGAAAGATGTCCATTAGTAGCCGATTGGCGTTCTGAGTGGTTCAGGCATTCACCGCTAAACCTCAAACTAACCCCGGCACGGAGGGCCGGCGTGCCTACCGATTGGCTATCGGAGCTGACTTGCGTGCGCGCTGTTTGCTCAGAGTTTGAAATAAAGCGATAAGCGTGCGCAGCGCACACATGGCCGCGTCTATCGACGAGCACTCGTAAAACCCGTTCGGCCGATACGAGTTTATCGGCGCCCACTCGGGCCGCGTGGAGCGCTGCTGTGTCGTGTGCAGAGTGCCCGACGCCGCGGCTCGGCTGGTCGTCTGTCCGTCTGTCTGTCTGTCTGTCTGTCTGTTGGTGCCCGCCGTCCGTCGTATGCAGATGCACCGCTGGGGTGAGGGAGGGGTCCGGGCGCCGAGGGGAGCCCAGAAATGAACAATGAACCGGTGCCCCCTCGGGCGCAGCGCGCGTTGCCTCTGACGGATACGGCCGACCCAATGGCTGATGGCTGGACGATAAATGACGCCCTCGGACGGGCTAGCTGGCCGCTACACGGGCGCAGAGCGCGGACGGCGCAATGGCTGAGGTGATGGCGGGCCGGGCCGGCCGCGCCGCCGCCGCCGCCGCGCCAGCCCCTGGATAATGGCAGGGGTAATGGATTTCTGGGTGCACGGCAGGCACGTATATGGGATTGGCCAGGCGGGAAATGATCTGCCAAATGCAATGGCGTCCTCGCTCTGATAAGAACCAGCCACCATTGGGGCACCACCGCTTCGGTAGCGTCTGTCTGTCAGCTCTGTTTGTGCCGGAACTGAATGAATGCGAATAACTGCGATAGATTTCCCCGAGTTGCGTCTACTCGCTGGCGAATTTCCGGTACCTTTGTGGTTAGAGTTTTACGGAACGTCTTTTGTCCTTTCAATACCACCCCGAGTAAAATTCCTTTGCGTCGGTTTCAACCAAAAACACGCCTCAAATAAACCCCGTGGCGTTGAAGTTAGTAATACAGCTGTCTTCATAGAACCCGTTTCCCACTGTGAACCACAAAATGCGCCAGCCACCCATCAATATCGCCAATCTGCACCGATCCCTTCACTCCCGAGCGCCGCTCAAAGCTGATTTGACGTCCAGAAACCACCTCCCCGACTGCCGTTTGTTTCGAAGGCCTCCCATTGGCTGCCAACCCGTCCGCGGCGGCCCCGCTGAACCTCCGATTGGCGCGTGTCGATCTCAATCAAAGGGTGCGCGCGCCGGTGTAACCCCCTTTATGCCGGCCGGTTGCGGCGAGCGGTCTGTTTTCCGGCCTGTCTGGCTCCACGTGCCGCCAACCGAGCCCGTCCGCACGGCGCAACGGCTCGCCGAGACTAATTTCGTCCTTTTCAGGCCTGCCCACCCTTTCAGCCGGATGAAATAGGCCGAATTAACCCGACCCCTGACCGAGTGCCCGACAAAGGCGCGCTGTTGTCGGCGACGGGGGAAGGGCCGATAGGGGTGGCGCAGAGGCTCGTGCCGGCCCGCACGCGCCGAGAGGGGACCGCAGCGGCCTTCAGAGGCAGAACGGACTCCGAGAGGCTCCCGGGAATAGACGGAGTGACGTGAGACGGCGGCAGCTTCTGGCATGAGACGACTGTCAACAGGATAGCGTACCAAAGATATAAATGAATCGGTTGAATAATTCTCATGTGTGTGCATAATTGTTGCGATTCTTCCCAGTAAAATCAACTAAAGGCCGCTTGATAGTTTTCTCATAAAAGGTGATAAGAAGGGAGAAGCCCTCATCTTGTAACCCGCTTACCACATGAGCTGAGTGCCCATGGATCTTGCCGACTCACCAGTCACTCTAACCCACTGGCAAACTTACGACCGTGTCCCATCAAGAACCGGTCCCAATTGATCGGCGCAACCCCAGCCCAGCCGCGGGTCCCCGAGTGGTGGCCGTCCTGTCACCCGTTCCCAGCCAGCCGAGATAAATCACGTGGCTCGCGCGCCGGCGCGCGCTGTTAATGCCGTTTTGATGTGGCCGGCCGCCGACTGGGCGTGTGAGGTCTATTGGCGGCCGCTTTTTAACGAGGCCCGCAGCCTGTTGATACAGCGGTGAGTGAGAGTGTGAGTTGAGTGTGAGTTGTTTGACACATGTACGATGAACCGGAGGTGAACAGGGAGGGGGAGGGGGGATGGGAAGACTGAGATCATCGTAAGCCGTCCATTGCCGAACCTGCTGAGAGGAGAGTCAGAGGGAATGAAACAGCGGAGAGAGAGAGAGAGAGAGAGAGAGAGAGAGAGAGAGAGAGAGAGAGAGAGAGAGAGAGAGAGAGAGAGAGAGAGACGACACCGGCTGCTCGCGCTGACCCCGCCGGCATGCCGACAAAACCCGTAATCAGTTAGGTCACACTGGCCTCCGTCTTACCCACACACACCTGCACACACCCACACATACACACAGAGCACACGTCACGGCAGCGCGCACAACTACAGTCACATGACGCGACGACACCACGTAACAGCGTACTGCACGAGCTCCAGCCCCGCGCCGGCGCCGGCCGGGGAACACAGAACACCGGGGAACACCTACTAACTAGACAGAGGACGTGGCGCCGCGGCGCCGGAACCCAGCGTCGTCCTTCTTGAGAACCGCGGGGAAGGCGCAACGAAAATGTTACGTGGCTATGAAAATGGATTGTGTTTTGGAAAACAAGAAAGTGTTTGCATTCAGCCGGTCTGAGCGGGAGGTAGATGCGAAATAACCAAAAGCTGGTGATATCTCAAGAAGTTTTAATATTGCCGTCTTTAAAATGTGATAATTTGTCACCTTTTCACAACTCGACAGGACACAACACTGCAAATGACGTCACGAACAGCTCTAAATACCATTACCCACCCTAACCGCTGGCGGTCTTTTCAACTGCACGTGCCGTACGCGTGTAACGCGCACAGTCCGCGGCGAGCGCACTGACTGTTTTTGACTCCACCTCCCTGAGCGGTTGGAATTGGCTGGCACAGCTCCGCCGAGCGGCTCCGTCCCTGCATTGGAAGCTTCGCTCACACCGCTGAGACTAGGTCTGCTAACTATCTGTATCCAGTGGGAATTTTGTACATAAGAGGGGAGCTGGGAGACGCTACCGCATTTCGATTTTGGCACGTTTTGATGTAGAATTTTACGTTGTTTTCCAATTGAATTATGTGGCTTGAAGTTCTTCAAAGAAATATGATTCAAATGCGCGCCAGGCCCAATCACTTTTTTTTTCTCGAAATTTGAAGCCTCCATCGAAAATGCGCTGCAGCTGAACATTGGCCCGCCACTGAGTCGCTGCTCTCTGTGCTCTGTGCGTGCGCGGCTGGCACCTGTGCGTGGCGGCGCCGCCCGACCGGTGGGAGCGGCGTCCCGCGGGGTGCGGCCACCGGCCGACCGGTCGCGCTCCCACGCACACGCGCGTAACACTTCCGCCCGCGCCAGCAACCGGCGCCGAAAATAGCGCGCGCCGGCCGGGTCAGCGGCCGAGGAGCCACGCGGCCACTTTCACCGCCTGCTGCGTGTGCGTGTGCGTGCCAGGATGCGCGCCACCGTCCTCGAGGCCGGGTGAACAACCTCTCGGCCGGGTGAGCGCCGCCGCGGGCCGCTCGGGTGGCTCGGTGCGGCCCCGGCGCCGGCCGCGTCATCGGCGGCGCGTCACGGCGACAGCAAGTGCCCAAGTCGTGCTGCGGCGCTGATTATTTATTAACGGGTCAGCAGAGAGCCAGAAAGTGCCCTGGGCCTCCCGGTGCTCTGCGAAAAAGCGGCGCCGGAGGCTGCGGCGGCGGCGGCAGTGGCGGCGACGGGTCCCCACGGAGCCGCAGCCGCAGCCGCCACCGCTGCGCCGCTGCCCTGCATATAATGCCCGATCGATTAACTGGCAATACCGTCGGACGCAGAGGGACCAGCCGACCAGCGAGGCACCAGAGAGAGAACGAGAACGCGAACGGGCCGTCAGATCGGCGGCGCACGATGAGTAATGGACGACTGATGGCCGGCGGACCTGGGCCGGGCCGCAGCTGGCCGATGGCGGCCAGCGTCTCCCAACTCCCCGGGGCTCAATCGATACAGCTCGGGGGTGCCGCGGCCGACGCCACCGGCGCATAGGGAAACTGGGGCGAAAATGGCGCGCCGAGTGTCCTTCCACCGCGGAGTGACTGCACCCTAATCAGCAGCCCCAGAAAGGGGCTCGTTCGCGGCTTGATCCCGCTCCCAACCCTGCTCGGAAAACCAGGCGTTCTCAGCCCGCGACTGGTGTGTGAGGTAGAATCTAGGAACATGCGCATCTGTCAACAAAATACCCGTGAATGCGGCAGGGCCGCGGCTGGTTGCAACATCTCTGGTGAAGCTCACGTGTGCGCGAGCTGGGCGCCCGTCTCGGAGAACGTGTCCCGGCTGCTGTCGGCCGAGAAGGCCAGCGAGTCAGGGCGCCGCTCCTCTGGCTCCTCGTCGCTGCCGGTGGCGCGGCGCATGCTGAGGTCCTCCGGCTCGGTCTGCTCGGGCGCGCCGCCGACGCTGACGCCCAGCGCGAACGGCGACGTGACGGTGGATGTGAGCGGCGGCGGCCGCACCAGCCGGCGCGTCTCCTTCTGCTTGCGCTCGCGGCGCCGGTGCTCGTCGACCGGCCGGTCGTCGCTGCTGCCGCCCGAGCGCAGCCGCTCGCCGCTGCTCGCTTCCGAGCGAGTCTCCGAGTCGGCCTCGACGTCCAGCTCGTCGCTGGTGAGCGGCGGCGGTGGCGATCGCTCAGAGCTCAGCAGACCCGCGGGCGGCGGCGAGCGCTCAGAGCTCATCAGGCCGAGTGGCAGCATGGGCAGTACAGGTGCCGGCTCTGACTCCTTCGAGCACTTGTGATGCATCAGGTGGTGGCGACGCCGGAACGTGCCGAAGCAGTTCTCGCACTTGAAGGGTTTCTCACCCTTGTGGATCAGCATGTGTGCCTTGAGCTGGTTGCTGTCGGAGAACTTGGAGTCGCACATTTCGCAGGCGTATGGCCGCTCACCTGTGTGAACCCGCAGGTGTCGCCGGAGGTTCGCCACCTGAACGAACTGTCGATCGCAGTGCGCGCAGTGGTAGGGTTTTTCGCCCGTGTGCAACCGCATGTGCGTCTTCAGGTGGTGGTCTCGAGTGAACCGCTTGTGACATTCCTTGCACTCGAACGGCTTTTCGCCGGTATGCGTGCGTTCGTGGTTCTGCAGCACGTGCTTGTAGCCGAAACTGCGGTTACACACCTGGCAGACGAAGACCTTTTCTCGCCCGCCCTCCTTACCGTTTGTCTTCTTCTCTGATGCCCTGGAGGTGCCGTTGCCCGGAGGCGACCCACTGTTTGGAGACGGCGAGGTTCCTCCGGCCAGCTCCTGAGGTAGAGAGTAGGGTCCCAGCAGGCCGGAGCCGGGCTGCTGGAAGGTGCTGCTGGTCACCGCCGGCTCAGCCTTGGGCGACGTCTGGATACCAGAGTCATCCAGCTTGGCCGGGTGCGGCAGGCCCGGCGAGCCGCCCAGGAACCTGGCCGCGTTACTCTGCGCGGCCAGTTTGGACCAGGCCAGCAGCGCCTCCCGCTGCTGGAAGCCCAGCAGCTGCCCGGGGGTGGTGTGTGGCGGTGGCGGCGCTAGGTGCGGTGGCAGCCGTCCCCCGGCCGCCGACGCTGGCCCCAGCAGCGCCTGCTGGTACTGCATGTGGCTGGCCTGCTGGGCGGCCAGGCTGGCCATGAGCGCCGCCTGGAGGGCGGCCGGCGGCAGCAGGCCGCTGTGCTGGCCCAGCAGACCGAGGTGGGCGGCCGGCAGGTGCTGCAGCAGACCCAGGTCGGGCAGCGGCCCCGGCGGCGGGCTGCTGGCGCCCGGCCGGCCCGACTCTGTCTCCATGGCGGGGGCCTCCTCCTTCATACCGCCACCGGATGGTGTCGGTCCCGAGCTGCCGGCACACAGAAACGGACACAGGGCGTCAGTGGCAGCCAGTCCCGAGCTGCCGGTACACAGAAACAGCACAGAGCGTCAGTGGCAGCCAGTCTCGAGCTGCCGGCACACAGAAACAGCACAGAGCGTCAGTACTCAGTGGCAGCCAGTCCCGAGCTGCGGGCACACAGAAACAGCACAGGGCGTCTAGGATGGCGCCCTTACCCCGCTGGGACCGGTCCAGAGCTGCGGGCCCAGAGGCATATTGCGCCAGCGGTGCCAGCGGTGCCTTAGAACGACATTGCCAGTTCTAAGTATCTTTACCTCCTGCCTCACATAAGCTGATGCTGCTGGAGATCGTACGCACTACGCAGAACGAGTCCTGCGTGCAATAATCGAAACTCGATTGTTCCAAAGCAGCTCGTCTTTCTTTCCCGTGTCGCTCTGCTATTGTCTCGCCTTCTACCAAAGCAGCTTACCGCCGCAGGGCAACCACAATTGATCCCTTGTGCGGCTGCCTATCGGGCTTCCAAAGCTCTGGTTTACGCTATAGGAAGCCCTCGGCGGGTGTCACTGGGGAGCCACCCCAGGGCGAATCAGTACGGCCATCACCCGTCACAATATAGCCGTATAGGTGGTGCATAGAAGCCCGATCGAGGTGGGAGGGGCAAAAACACCAGAAGCCCAACAGAGGTGGGGAGAGAAGACAATCCGATTATTGGGGAAGGCCGCCAGATCGCGAGTGGTGGTGCGGCAGACAATATTTCGCCCGCTCTTGTGGCCCCGCTGGAAACTGATGCTATGGCCAGAAAAATGGGATTTATGTGAGTGACCGATAGGATTTGGAATGAGATAGATGGGCTACCGAATGGAAAATATAGATGTATCCGGTAGAGATATATGTAGCGTTGAGATGCGTTAATAATAAACAATCGCCTGGTGTGTGGCTGAATAGGCAGCACCTCGCGATCCCACCGCTTGATTCTAGATATTTTTATATAGTTATTTATTTATTTATTTATTTATTTATTTATTTATTTAATAATTATGCTACCTTAGCCTCCTGCAATAACTGACCCGACCCGACAGTGATCCTGGTTCATAGGTCACATAGCGCAATGTAGACCAAGTCCAATAGAAATTTGTGTCCAATTAAACGATGAGTTGTTTGCAGTGAGCATGGTCGGCAATAAATGCCAGTAATATCTGGTATCCGGTTTGATGTTGAGCAACGGGTCCGGGAGGGGTTTTATTGGCTCACAGCTGACACGATTGCTTCTTGGCCGAGCGCTCAGTAACGACGTTCCTTATCCTCTCTACCGACCCGGTTTTTCGTCCGTACAAATATAACCTCAGATGAGTTGCAGGCTGCAAGGCTTCCGAGACAGCGGGATAATGCAATAAAAGTCCATCTTCAACGAAAAATGGAGCTCCAAAGCGACAACACACCATCTGATTTGGAACGATTGACTTGAGATGGAAGTCCTGCAGCCAACAGAAGAACGTAATCAATTCTTTGCAGCTAGAGGGAAGGACTTTTTGCGGGACATTGAAAAATACAGTCCAACTCTCACGTTAAACTCGCTTCGATAACTGTGTACTCAAGATGATAGAAGCTCATGTTCGGATTCTTAGTTCATAGATGGAGAGAAATTCTTAAACCGCCAGAGCCGAAAACATGTTTATTTACAATTCGGATGGGTGACGACTTTAAAGGTCTGCGTTTATGCCATTTTAACTGGCGTATTTTTTGCCACAAAAAAATTCATTCCATTTCAATTTCCGCTTGGGTGTCTTTGCATAACACACTGATTATGCTATTTAAATTATCAACGCGCAAATATTTTTTGAAGCAAATCTCGAGCAGCAGATACTGTCTCTGTGACCCACTGGGCTGGCTCCCGTCTCCGGTCGCCCGGGGCTCTATCTCATTCTGCAGTCTCATCACGCTTCTAGCGTCCACCCCTGCTGGTCACCGACCATCCAGCCCCCTCCCCTCCCCTCCCCTACTCCAGCCGGCAGCCATAATTAACTCACCCTGCCGACCAATCGGCGCGGCGCTGCATCCGGCCGGCGCCCGTGATTGGTGCGACGGGTCTATGCAAATCAGAAGGGGTGACGGTGCCCTCGCAACGCATAACAACGCGCGCTGACAGCCGGCCCCGGGTCGCCGAGGGGGTTAATGGCATTCAAACATGGCTGTGCGCTCGCGCGCGCGCGCGCGGCGTCGGTAATCTGGCGCGCTTTGTCGCCGGCCGTGGAGGTGTGACGCGCGTGATGAAAGGCTCCGGTCGGCGCGGCGCCGGGGGACGCCGGACCACATTTGAATACGGCCGGCCGGCAGCTGAAATGAGTACCGGCCGGGTGGGGTCTGCCGGCCGATTGGGGAGAGGGGCCGGATGGAGCCCGTGGCGTCCGAAGCGGGTCTGGTGATGGTTACCGGTCACCAGCCGGCGCCCGCGCTGGTGACGGCGGTGATTAGATTAATTCGGTGTGATTAGGACACCAGGCAGTTGATTACATTATATTGTGGGGTAAGTTCACACTGAACAGCAGCACAAGACACGCCTAATGACGAGCCCCATGGCAAGAACTAACCCTACTAAATAAGATGCGCTACGAATCACGATCCTCTTCAGCATATGTAGACCTCGCCATCTCCCATTGCACTCCCCATAGAGTCACTGTCCATGGGGCGAGTCAGTGTGACCGTTTAGACGACAGGACACCGTAGCGACGCGCCAGGTGCCCGCCGCCGCCGCCGCCCGCGCAGACCCGGGACCACCACAAAGCATCCCGCGCTGGCCGGCGCGGAGCTCTGAACGCGCTGTATGAATCCGACTGCCGGGGTAGCCGTTGTTCCATGACAGTCCCCGGTCTCAATGACTATTGGCTGTCGCTATTCGGGGCTGTCTATCGATGGAGGCCGTGTTTCGTGGAATTCGGAATCTGTAGACCACACAACAGCTCATGAGCGTCTTATGTACTGTTCCCCTCACTTCGCCAGGGAAAGGTTTGGCTAACTGATTTGGTTAATCATTCAAGTAGCTCGAGTTCTGTGGCGGTTTTCGGTCGCGTGTGATCGGCGTTTGGCGCGCGCCGTGCGCTGCGGCGGTGGCACGCTGGGCAAGGTCAGGCCGCCGTCTCAATACACTGGCCCGCCGTCTCAATACACTGGTCCTCCGTGGTCGCGGGATGGACATTAATCACCTGTGCCAAGACGGTGCCGGCGCAGCTGCCGCGTCACAATCGTCGGCACGCTCTGACGTCAAAATGTGACACATCACATCACACTGGAGACCAAGTTACGAGTGTAGTGCCGGGGTGGGACGGGTAAGGGTGCGGACGAATGACCTCAACTGGAGACCAAGCAACAAAACTAATGGATAGTATAATTTCAATTCATTCAAAGTAAATCAAGATGAATTTAACTTTGAACTAATGCCATAAGATATTTTATTGCTCCAGCCGCTGCAAAAGAATCGTGACTCATTTACCGATTTTTCCAATTTCCTACCAAATAATGCAACAATTGTATCTACAGATGCGATAATATCATGCATAAAATTTCCATTAATCTGAAAAAAAAATTTTCCAACGAAGCGGCACGCCATATTCCTTTCTCTCGGCTCTGTTACATTTCCCAAACGCCGGCGCGGGACGCGGGGCAGCTGCCTGCCACCCGCACCCCATTCCATTAGCCCGCTGCCCAGTATCGGTTTGAATCGAATCCATGTCGACTGTTGGGTAGAAATACATCCATCTTGCCAAACATTAGCACAGTGCCGGCCGCGGAAGCCCGTATGAAAGCGGGGGCGCCGCGGCGTGCGTCCGGCGGCGGCGGCGGTGGTGAAGAGGTCCCACCTGCAGTCGGGCCGGCCGGTCGGCCAGGGGACCGCCTTACCGGCCGCCGGGCAGTGGCCACACCTGGTGCCCGCGCACCGAGGACCCTCCGGGACCCGGGAGATGGGCGCCTGGGGAGACGGCAGGGAGAGAGAGAGAGAGAGAGAGAGAGAGAGAGAGAGAGAGAGAGAGAGAGAGAGAGAGAGAGAGAGAGAGAGAGAGAGAGAGAGAGAGAGAGAGAAATGGGAGGAAGGAAAAGAAGGAGGGAGAACAAACATAAAAGCAGGCTGGAAGAAAAGTACACGGAAGGAACCACCTCAGGTTAGAAAGAAATATGCAGAACGTGCCTGCCAATGATTATACATTTTATTGAGAAGTGCGGTACAGTTCAGCATTTAGCGCAAATAAGAAATGCTTTCTATCGAGAATAAGAATCAGATATGTTGAAAATTAAATTAATTAACTAAGCTAAATATTATTTTTTAGACAGCTTATGAGTACTTTCGAATGTGCGCGTATTGCGTATCCATTCCGACCACATCCCAGGACACATCCCAGATCCCCAGCCATCCCAGGACACCTATCCCAAGAGGTATTGATATTTCCATTTCTGTGTCTGGCGGAATAATTTCGGCTCGCGCCCATGTCCTTTCGGTGGGCGATGGTGGTGCGTTTCCTTCATATCACCGGAGTGGCCGCCATCAGTGTATGCGCGCCACTGCCGCCGCGCCACTATTGTCGGCCATCCGTCATGGCATCGGGGTTCGGTGACGGCCGGCGGGGGTGGCGGCGGGGAGGAGATGGGGGAGGGGGGCGGCGGAGGGAGGCCCAAACGGCAGCAATGGCGACGGCAGGCCAAAGGCATCAGTGAGATGTGGATCCAAGTAGATGGAGGAGCGTATGTAGATTGTAGATACGGCGGCGGCGGCGGCGGCGGCTGGCGGTCGGGCAGTGGGGAGGCTGAGGACCACCAACCCTCCCCGATCCCTCCCCGTTGGGAGGAGGTGGCTGAGGGCCCTCCCCGACCCCTCCCCGTTCGGCAGATGAGCGGCGTAACGACGCGGAAACCCGCCACGGCCGAATCACGGCCGGAAGACAAACGCGGCGCACCGGGTAGTCTGAATGGCGCAGTCGGCCACCGCGCCGCCATCGCACCTCATTAAGCGTGCCCTCTCG